CTGGCAATACTTTGATTTGGCTGGCGTTTTTTCGCGGTCCATTCATTCAGTTCAAGTGTTTCATTAAGATGAAATTTAATTGATTGCTAATGTCAGCATTGTAAAACTAGGTTTTTCTCACTTTGATATTTTTTTCGGTTTTTCTTCTCTTTTTGCTCGTTCACCCTTCCATTTTTCTCTACCTTTTTTCTCTACTACAAACCTTTTCTAATGCATATCTTACGCCCACACTTGTGGAGTCAGAATATATTATATTTCATTTATTAACGTCAACATTGATAAATTGCATTCAATTACTTACATTGTATGTAATAAAAATTGCGGACCTGGCGCATGTTTTATGAATTTTCAGCTGCAAATATATACCCCGAGTCAGAAAGAGACAGCTGAAATTTCTTGGACACATCATGGCGAAGAAAGGCTTGGAGAATGATACACTCACAGGACGTATCGAAAACAGATAGTGTAAGCTATTTGAGGAATTTGTCAATGGATGGCGGAAGAGTTACGGGAGGTCTGAGACAGGGACAAATGATAAGAGATTGTAGAGAGCTAAATGTGCCTACGTACTGAACGATGGAGTAATGGCTCGGATTGAGGAATTGGAGAGCCGAGTTCGAATTCCACTTGAATCCATTGCATTCGCTTACGTGCTAATACCCTTGGGAAAGGTATGAACTCTCTTCTTCTCGCCCCAGCTATGGGTAAATAGCAGGACAGACCGAGTCCTATAGCCTTGGATGGCAACTAGTCTACCACAGAAAGAAATGGCAACCTACTTCGGAGAAAAAATATGCCTCGTCAGTCATGTATCGAAAGATACATGATCGCCTAGGCGAGTATTACTCATGGCACATAACTGGCTGACTGAATGGAAACACTGTAGCGATCATTTTCTTTATACACTTGCCCACCAAAATCAGATAGATAGATAGATAGATAGATAGATAGATAGATAGATAGATAGATAGATAGATTTATTTATCGAAACAACAATTTAAAAAAGAAGTACACTTCTGTTCTTATAAATTTTTTTTTAACCTTGTAAGTTTTTATACCCCTGTATCAATCACTTTCGTTTTTTCATTGAGCCAAACATTTTCTTTTTAGCCTTGGGTACCAAAACATAGATAGATAGATAGATAGATAGATAGATAGATAGATAGATAGATAGATAGATTTGTCGAATTGACAATAAAAAAAGAAGTACACTTCGGTTCTAATCTGTAGGGAGTAATGAAGTGACACCTTCTGCTTTTACGAACCCAATTTCTGACTGCAAGCTACCGATCTTGGGTAATTAAGTTCAATAGCGTACACATATTTAACAGAGATTTGCCATGGCCGTTTTTTTCCAAATTTTCAAAAACGCCACTTTACTATAATTGGCAAGTATCAATATAAAAGTATTACATTTCTATATTTTTCTATGCATATATATATATATATATATATATATATATATATATATATATATATATATATATATATATATATATATATATATATATATATATATATATATATGTGTGTGTGTGTGTGTGTGTGTGTGTGTGTGTATATATATATATATATATATATATATATATATATATATATATATACATATTCTGTGAGAGTAAGGGAGTGCAAAATTGTTCATTGTACCAAGTGCTTTGGTTACTTTTTACCCATTTTCAAGGGAATGTCTGACCAAACGGAAAAAATGGAAGAAGGCTAAAAAATTAATTAAATTTCCTTGTCTACCATATTTGACGAAAGATGTTTAAAAAAAAAATATTTTTATATATATATATATATATATATATATATATATATATATATATATATATATATATATATATATATATATATATATATCTTTCGGATAGTAAAACGTTAAAAATTTCCTTACTCTCTGCCGTGCAGACGAAAGCTTGGGGTAGAATCTCTGACTGATGCCAAATCGGTCGGTTTTCTATCCTGGCTTGAAGCAATCGGATGTCTAGACATACTGATGAGCTGTGATACAGTGGTATGAGCTGTGGATGACTATATATATATATATATATATATATATATATATATATATATATATAGAGGAGAGAGAGCGGGTCAGTGAGTTAGGTACCATACGTGATAGACAATTAGGCGATCATGCATCTTTCGATACATGACTGACGAGACAGGTTTTTTCCAGCAATAGGTTGCCATTTCTTTCTGCGGTAGACCAGTTGCCATTCAAGGCTAGAGAACCCAGTCTGTCCTGCTATTTACCCATAGCTGTTGGGAGAAGAAGAGGATTCGTATCTTTCCCAAGAGGATATGAGCACGTAAGTGAATGTAATGGATTCGACTGGAATTCGAATTTATGCCTAAAGTTGAAAGTTTATGATTACATATAAGCAAATATGTGTTTATGTATCAATATGAATTCATTTGTGATTCAATAAATTCAAAGATATGTACTCACCTATAAGTCAAGTGTATGACAGTGTATGCTATGAATGCGATCGACTTCATATGTATGCTTTTATGATTGAACGAATAGGTATGTGCAAATATGTGCATCTATATATGTACCTACTTCAGTGTGAATATCGCCTCGTTATTCGGGGACACTATAAAATTTCTGAAACGACTATTTCATCACACATCCAACAATTGAATGAGTTTGTGATAGAAAATTTGGAGAATAATTATGTTTGTTTATATGAATTGCATGGATCACACGCAAACAAGTTCTAAATGAATCAGACAGATCACACACAGTCAAGTTCAAAATTGATCCAATACAATCAAGATCAAAATGAATTAATCACATTCAAAATTAGAATTAATAACATGCAACGAAGATCAAAATGAATCACAAAGATCGCCTAAATCAAGATCAAACTGAATTACACACCGTCAAGATCAAAATAAATCACACAAATCACACGCAATCAAGATAAAAATGGATTCACACAAAAATCAAAATGAATTATACGCATCAAGGTCAAAATGAATCGCAGTGATATCTCAGTCAAAATCAAACTGAATTACATACAGTCAAGATCAAGCTGAATTATACACAGCCAAGATCAAAATGAATTACACACAGTCAAGATCAAAATGAATTACACGAATTACACGCCATCAAGATAATGAATCACACACACACAGATCAAAATGAATTACACACAATCAAGATCAAAATGAACCCCTTAAATCAAACGGAGGCAAGATCAAAATGAATAACACAGATCCCTCAGTCAAAATGAAAATGAATTACACACAGTCAAGATCGAACTGAATTACACAATCAAGATCAAAATGGATCACACATATCGTAGTCAAGATAGAACTGAATTACTCATAATCAAGATCACACTCAGAGATCAAAATGAATTGCACGCAGTCAAGATCAAAATGAATCACAAAGATCCCACAGTCGAGACCAAATTGAATTACAAACAGTCAAGATCAATATGAATTACATACAGTCAAGATCAAAATTAATTACATGGATCACACACAACCAAGATCAAATTAAATCGTACAGTCAAGATTAAACTAAATTACACACAGTCAAGATCAAAATTAATGACACAAATGAAACACGATCAAGATCAAAATGAATCACACAGATCCCACATAGTCAAAACCAAAATGGATTACACATATCACACGCATCCAAGATCAAAATGAATCACAAATAGTCAAAACCAAAATGGATTACACAGATCACACGCAGCCAAGATCTAAATGAATCACACCGTCATAATAATTCATACAAATATTTTTACATCTTGTCAAAATCATATAAAAACTTGTGTCAAATAACTAGTGTACAATATCAACTATTCGACTCTGGTCAAAAGAACTGAATTTGATTTCTTTCGTGCTGGAAATGAAAGTGAAATAACATCGTCTGCACAACAGTAAAAGTATATGGGTGCCTACGAGAATAACAAAAGATTTGTGGAAGTTAATTTGCGTTCGACCATATTATTTTATGTATGTGTATTTGTGGGCATGGACCAGTCTTCCTACGAATACGTATGTGTACACGAGCCTGTAACTGTGCACGTGTCTGTGTTCTGTCGCTCGAAGCGTCAAAGGCGAGCGTCTCAAGTGTAAGGCCTGAAAAGTGGTGAGGTTTTAAATGACCGCAATTGTGTGTGCATTAACTTTCTATGGTGGCGTTTAAAATTTTACTTTCTCTCTTCCCCACCCCAAGCCCACTCTATCTATTGCTCTGTATATCTCTCCGTCCGTTTTGTTATTCGTTAGTCTCTCCATCTTTCTTTTGCTGTCTTTTCTCCATGTCTTTTATATTTATCTCGTCCAGAGTCCTTCACTTGCATCTACAACAGCAGCCCCCCCCCCACTACTCCGACACCACTAGTTGTATCGCTTTATTTTTATTTATTTATTTATTTTGTAGTTGTGGCTTTTTGTCAACTGTTTCACAACCGGTATTAAAAGCAGAATCTCACGAAAGTTTTATAGCGACGATCACCAATTCAATGACCCTCATTACCAGTATGGTAGTTTAAAATGAGACAGCTAAAACATGGTCTTGCTTTTCTTTTTCTTCTTCTTCTTCTTCTTCTTCTTCTTCTTCTTCTTCTTCTTCTTCTTCTTCAATTGTAATTTTCCTCGTCTTTTATTAGTTTTCTTCTTCTTCTTCAATTGTAATTTTCCTCGCCTTTTATTAGTTTTCTTCTTCTTCTTCTTCTTCTTCTTCTTCTTCTTCTTCTTCTTCTTCTTCTTCTTCTTCTTCTTCTTCTTCTTCTTCTTCTTCTTCTTCTTCTTCTTCTTCTTCTTCCATTGTAATTTTCCTCGCCTTTTATTAGTTTTCTTCTTCTTCTTCTTCTTCTTCTTCTTCTTCTTCTTCTTCTTCTTCTTCTTCTTCTTCAATTGTAATTTTCCTCGCCTTTTATTAGTTTTCTTCTTCTTCTTCTTCTATATTCATTAATCTCCACTTATTCTTCTCTTTTGTTCTAAACTCGTAAAAGTTCCAGTAGTTATATTCGATGATTTCTTTTTTTCCCACCTTTTCTTTTTTACTTCTTGTCGTCTTCTTTTTACGACTTATCTTCTTTTTATTTAATGTCTTCTTTCTTTTACACTTCACCTTCTTTTTACTTCTTGTCGTCTTCTTTTTGCAACTTATCTTCTTTTTATTTATTGTCCTATTAGTTTTACACCTTATCTTCTGTTTATTTATTTCTGGCTTCATTTTACACTTCACATTCATTTTACACCTTATTGTCATCCTTTTACACCTTACCGTCTTTCTTTTACTCTTTCTTCCATTCCTTTTGCACCTTAACTTCTTTTTATTTATTTTCCTCTTCCTTTTACAACTTATCTTCTTTCTTTTAATTATTGTCTTTTTCCTTCTACACTTTATTATCTTTATATTTCTTGCCATTTACCTTTTACATTTTACCTTCTTTTTACTTCTTGTCGCCTTTCTTTTACGCCTTATTTTCTTTCTTTTACTTCTTCTGCTCTTCCTTCTACACCTTTTCTTTTTTCTTCTTTTTGTCCTCTTCCTTTTGCAACTTATTTTCTCTCTTTTACATCTTCTCTTTCTTTTACACTTTATTCTCCTCTTCTTTTTACCTCTTATCTTCTTCCTTTTATCCTTGTCCTCTTCCCTTTACTTCCTTCTTCTCCTCTTCCCTTTACTCATTATCCACTTCCTTCTTGTCCTCTTCCCTTTACTAATTACCCTCTTCTTTTCACTCTTTGTTCTCTTCCTTCTACTCTTTATCTTATTTTACTTCTTGTGCTCGTCCTTCACCTTCTGTCTCCCTTTACTATCATTTTACTCCTTGTCTGTCTTAATAATGTTAATTCATGATTATTTTCCTTCCATTGTTTTTTCATTCACTTTTTTGTTTTTCTTTCAGTGTTCTTGGTGTCTGTTACGTACAATTCGAATACTAATTTCTGTTTCTCCCTTATACACGTTTTGCTTTCTTTCTTGATAATTTCTTTCTTTTTTCTTACTCCTTCTTCTTAGAATTGTTATTATTATCATTATTTACTCTGAGTTACTGCATATTTTATTAGATTTGCCTGAAGGTTATTTTTTCAAATGCGGACAAATAGCGTGAAAATGGAAGAGGAATGATAGAATAAAGACTCTTTGATAAACCCCCCATCAAACTGCAATTTTGTTTAACGATTGTACCAAAGCACACGTTTATCATGGCGGATGTATTACTTTAAAACAAGGTAAAATGAATAAATTCTCTTTGACTAATAAATACGAGATCTGCTCACGATCTGATCACCAATAACTAATGACCATAATGCATAGTTACCAGCAATAGTATTAAACATGCAGTGACCACTGAGAAATATATAAATGATACAGTTGTAGCGAAAATGACAGCATTTTTTTCCGTGGGTGACTGTTAAATTTTCTTTATTCTTCTATCAGAAAACAGAGACTCTGGTAACAACTTATACACCATAATTCAATACAAAACTTCCTGGGTGTTACAGCGCATTCTAACAGAACTATTATTTATTAAGAATTTAATTGAAATGTTTTTTTATTATCTTAAACCGTCATTACTTATTACGATCATTATTATTATTATTATTATTATTATTATTATTATTATTATTCTCCAAATTTCCACCAGCACTTCCCACACCAAACTCTTCCATTAATGTCAAACGACGATTAAATAAGAAACAACCAAAAAGCCTTAATGAATTCGAAGAACCAAATCCTTTATCTCATTATTCCAACCTTTTTAAATCCTATTCTTGTTTTATCAATGTAAAATATTAATTGCCTGAGTAAACCCTCACTCAACCGGGAGGTGAGGCCAACAAAATTTTTCGTGTGTAAAGAGGTTTCAAACAATGACCTCGACAAACAGTAAAAAAAAAAAATACCCGCATTTATGAATCTTAAAACAAATTTCAGTTTTCCCAAACTAATCTATTATTGAAGACGATAACTGATATTTGTAATGTGCAGGTTATCGGAGATTTTACATGATTTATATCACTTGCGAACAACTGAAATTCTTTGTTTTATTTAAGATTACTCTTCAAATCCTTCGTAACACGTCTCATCGCTTTAGCAGGGTTTATATAACGTGATATCACACATTATGAAATGAGCAAAGTCCAACAATTATTTAACATAATATCTAAAGATTAATTCAGTTCAATACATTAAAATTATTTATACCGCCTTTTATTTAGAAAATAAATTGGTAACAACATAAAGTGGTGGGGTCAGACAAGGATGCATCTTCACTTCAGATTTATTCAACGTTTACTGCGATGTTATCCTAAGTGAACTGGGAGTCCTACTTTGATTTATTATCGTTGGGCGTAATTTTGACACTATAAGATACGCTGATGACACTGCGATTATGGCCGACTCAGAGAGCAAACTACAAGACCTCTTGGACAGGATGGGTTCACCAGCAAGAAAAAAGCCCAAGATGCGATTTACGTATTGGGGATATAAACATCAAGCAGTTGTATAGATATCTGAGACGCGTTTTAAAAGAGGATGGAAAATCCAACACCGAGATCCGAATACGCAATACGAAAGAGGGATTTCAAAAATAAGCTGATGAGAAACAAAAAAAAAACGTTACAAACAAAGAAAAAAATGCTGGATTACTATGTGGTATCCATCTTCTTATGTGTCAGGGGAATGTTAGACAATTCCCCCCTGAAGATGAGGCTAAAAGTAGAGGCAGTAAAAATGTGGTTCTACAGAAAGATAATAAAAATTCCATGATTAAGCAACAAGCAAGTCTTAAAGAAAATGGTAACAGAAGGACCACTGATACTTAAAATTAGGGAATATAGCTGGACGCGTAATGAGGAAGGGGGGCTTGGAAAACTTAAACCTCTCGGGGCAAATAGAGGGCAAAAGAGTTGGAAGGCGGCGTGTCACTTACCTAACGATCTTGCGTGAATGGATGAAGGAAGGAGGGAACAGGAGCTTTAGGAAAGGGAAAATTGCTAAGAGCCATACACGATAGAAAGCTGTGGAGAGCCATAATCGACTATGTCCTGAAAGAACGCAGCAGAAAGGAAAAGAAGATTCTCAGGATGCGCAGCTGACGTAAAGTTTGTGGAGGCAGAAAGGGCAATCAGCAAGCCGAGTTCAAATTAAGGGCCCACCCTGCTGCGTTCACTTTCGTACTATTCACCTTGCGAAAGGGAAGAATCCTTTTTTACTCCCCCTCCACTTCCAGGTATAGAATAAATAACCTGACAAAATAGTGATGGGTGGCAGTCTGAGAAGGTCAACTTTGAATTTCATACTGTTGAGGAGGCAATGGGAAAACATTTCTTTGTTTTTCACAATAATTCATGGCATTTCACAACTAATAAAGCAAAGGAATGTGTGGAGAGCCATAATCATCTACGTCCTAAAAGGATATGACATTAAAGAAAATACAATATTGAAAGTACTGGTGCTCTTAATATAGGTTAGAAAGCTACCCTAAATTTCGATTGTTGAGATATCTGGCGTCAAGATCTCATCAATTTACAGTTGAGCTGGCTAGATGTAACTGCAAATTCTATGCTAACAGTTTCTTTTCTCGCACTTCTCGCTTGTGGAACTCACTTTCAGCGCCATGTTTTCCAGCTAACTTTAATCTGAAAAATTTTAAATAGAAAGTCAATCGCTATCTACTGCCCTCCTGATTATTTTTCTTCTGTACTCCTATGTTTTTTGTTTTTTTGGTTTTTTTTTTTTTCCACATCATGCAACCATCTTGTGTCTTAGTGGCTTTACTGCCTTGCTTGGGGTGATATCAAGTTAGAAAAGTCGATTAGTTTATATTCTATCTTAGATAAGGTATTATTGTTTAAGCGTGTGTGTGTGTGTGTGTGTGTGTGTGTGTGCGCGCGTGTGTGTGTGTTGTAGGGTTACAACTCCATGCCCCACATAGGAGTCTAAACGTACATACATACATATTTTTCAATTTGTACGACAAAAAATAGCAGTTATCTTTTATAAAAAACTTATTTGTAAAACAAGCACCAGCAATGCACGAGCGTGTGTGTGTGTGTGTGTGTGTGTGTGTGTGTGTGTGTGTGTGTGTGTGTGTGTGTGTGTGTGTGAGAGAGAGAGAGAGAGAGAGAGAGAGAGAGAGAGAGAGATAAACTTTTTACAAGGTATATGCAATATATCCGGCAGGAGTGAGGGCCCTTCGACGTGGTGTAATGGTTAGCAAGTTTAACTCGCTAGATCAATTACGACTGAATAGTGAGTTTAATCCTCACTAGGTGCCCCATACTTTCGGCGTATGTACTACAACTAAGTTACGCTTGATAAATCCCTATAGCTATAATTCGAACGAACTACGTTCCCTGTTTCCATCAGGTCTAACCTTCATGTCAAGGACCAGCCATGCCACTTATATAGTAGCAAACCACTGACATTCCCTCTGTATTCCATCGATGTGAAGTTTTTCCCGCGAACCACTGCCCTATGGAACCGACTTCCAAAAAGATCACTACAATCTTAACCCGTTAATGGCTAGAGTTAATCCTTATCGTCCCCCAAATTGCATTCTAACGTAACCCTCTACCTTGACTGGCGCCCGGGCACTCTACAGGAGGAAACTTACTGTAAAAAAAAAAATTCGATTCTTAGTATTGAGTTACTTTTTTTAACACTTCATTCAGGATAGCTCAACAGTCACTGCACATAAAAACGGAATTGGCGAAGCTCGTTCAAATATCTTAGGGGGATGCTTACGTTTATCTTTCTATTAACGCCCTTGAGAAACACTTGAATTCATTACCCACAGCCTTTTATTCCCCTCACTAGGTTTATCTTGTCAAAATGGTTGATGGAGAATATGGAATGATTGAATGACTCAGCGAAAACTTGGGCAAACCCCTCTTCCATTACTAAATTACTTTCTTAGGTAGTAAGTTCAAAAGGTTAATAAGTATAAGAGTAATATTTCTTGCGGCGTTACCCATTAATACACACTGAAAAATCGGGTATTATTCATAAAAAAAAGTAAACAATATCATTAATATTTAATTATAAAATTTAAACATTTTAGAAAAATATATTTTATAATTTTCTAAAACATCCGATAATTTTAAATCGGTATCACCACAAGCAAGGCAGTACAGACACTAGCACGCAAGAGGTTACAGGGTGCGGAGGAATTAGGAACAGAAATATTACGAATGAGAAAAAAGTGCTATCAAGAGAACAGTAGAAAACGATTGACATTGCATTAAATCTTTTTGCAGATTAAAGTTGGTTAGAAAGCAAGGAACCGGAAGGGAATTCCACAAACGAGAAGTGCCAGATAAGAAACTGTCAGCATAGAACTTACGGCCACATCTAGCAAGCTCAACTGTAAAGGGATATGATCTCGCCGCCAGTCTAGTATTACGCTTAAATTCATACGGTCTAGGTAACACAGCGTAGAGCTCATCCGAACAATTACCATGAAAGTGTTTATAAAAAGACACAGAAAGACAACCTTACGGCGGTGGCTACTGATTGAAGTCGAGCCGACTAAATCAGGACCAATAATATTGCTGATTCTTTTTTAAATCTTATCAATTATATTTTAAAAACATCCAGTATTAATTTCTGTTTATAAAACTCTTATTAATTATAAGGTCAACGGATTTCTCGTCTTTTGTATTTTCATTAATTATCTTTTATTGCCCACCTTTATCCGATGAGTTTGTACAACCCAGCCCAGGGGCTGAACTCACAATTATTATACCAACAAATGAAAAACTGCTTTAATCTACTATTTTTATTGTCCCGTGTAAATGAGACAAGCAATAAGCGGGTAGTAGTAAAAAGAACAGCATCGAGACATCGGAACAAGAACAATCTACGCGAGAAGATTAAATAAAGGGTTGTTTGAAATTCCATGGAGATTATACGAATCGACAGACACATGAAGGTGACCGGAAGATACGACATCTCAAACGTTGTGATAATAATATC